AAATAGAGATTATCCGTTGTCGGAAAATAAATCCTTCAAGAAAATTGAGTTTTCTTATCCTATCGAAATTGTCGGATAATTTTACTTTTTATAGGGTTTTATAACAATTAGTTCTTTGGGGATTTTTTCTGAAAAATTTTGTGGAAATTTTATTCTCGAGTTCATGTTTTTTAGTGAATTATGTGCAAGGGAGGAATTGTTAAGGTATTGAGTTTGTTAAATAAGTATTTGGTAAAGTGGTTAAGGACTTTATATTAAAAAGGAAATTTAAGTGTAATGAATCAATCTTTTATAAAATTTAAATGTATTGAATTAATCTTTTATTTTATTCAAATGTAATAAATTAACTTTTTATGAAATTTGAATATAATGAGTTATTTTGTAATAAAATTTAAATGCAATAAATTAACCTTTCATGAAATTCAAATATACTGAGTTATTTTTTAATAAAATTCAAATGCAATGAATTAACCTTTCATGAAATTTAAAAAGAATGTGTTATTTTTTAATAAAATTTAAATGTAACTAATTAATCTGTAACAAAACTTAAATGTAACGAATCAATCTTCTGTAAAATTTGAATGTTATGAATCAATCATTAACGAAATTTAGACGTAATAAATAAATCTTCGTTAAACCCTAAGTATAATGAACTAACCTTCAAACTTGAATATTATAAATGCATCTTTAAAAAAATTTAAATACAACGAATTAATTTATCATCAAATTTAAATGCAATCAGTTAATCTTTAAAAGTAACAAATTTTAACCAAAATTGAATGTAACGAATCTTGTACAAAATGTTAAGTCAACAATTTGTATATCATTTTGAATTGTTACATTTGCATTGTTTACTTTCTCCAGGCATTAATATTCTCTTTGACACGTATTTGTTGAAGAAGCAAATTTACCAACGGACAGTAATTTTTAATTTGAGCAGAGCTGTGTACAGAAACGTGCAAGCAAATAAGCCAGTAGCGTAAGTAAGCATTATAACGACGAAGTAGGAATTCCTCGTTTACAAATACACGAGAGCGTTTACATCGGCCCTAATCGCAAACAGCGATGCTTGTCGGAATAAATAGCGATTGTTGATTTAGGCTTTCGCGATTATACTAGCAGCTATGCAACGTCGAGCACAATTCCGATTGAGCGTACAGGCGTAGAGGATCGAAAGCACTCAAAGCAGGAAATATCGACACCGAACGTAAAGGGTCTTTAGCGGAGATAACATGGAGTGAACGAATTTCAAAAAAAGGAAAAAAACACAGAAAATAAAAATAAGCTTTTTTGATGGGTTGTCCGGCCATGATCGTTCTGACACGTTTTTGTACACCACGATATCGAAAACGGCGAAGGGAAAATCTTTTATTGATGGCTATTGATGCCTTAAATTTTACATGTCGACATTTTTTGACCGAAATAGTGAAAATATGCAAATTTAAGAATTATACCTAAAACTCCAATTTCTAGGTGAACCTTTTCCGTTTGTTGGACACGTCTTTGGTCCACAATTTTGCGCCCAACAACTTCGTAAAGCAATACATTTTGTTTGTTAAAATCTCCCAAACCCCAAAACTTTTCAAAAATATTCTTTCTTTCTTCTTCATCGTAATTTTTTATACAAGCATTCCGACAACGGGAATCTTTGTTTTCGAAAATTTTTTCAGGTACAATATTTCCGGCTTGAGTACAATATCTTTTTCCTGAATTTCGTTTAATCTTTCCCTTTTTTTGGATATATGATTCATCAATCTTTCCTCCATTGTTATTCGTATCTTCACCCTCTGAAGACGAATTTTGTTCTATAATTCTGTTTCTTTTTCAATTTTTTTTAAAATCATTAGTTACTATTTCTTCTTCACTATCTGAACTAAATGGTCTTGTTCTGTTCTTCCCCAGGGGTGAAATAATTTCTAAAGTTTAATATTAAATTTTAAGCTTCATATTAATTAAACGTACTGGTTATTCAACTAACGCAATTGTTTAAAAACTGAGGTTAACTTGTAAATACTAATTAATTAAAATCACTGCTTTCCGACATTATCAATAGTAAATATCTTGATTGAAGTATAAATGGAGTTAGGCCACTTTCAAAATAAACGGCTCAATTCCATATTTTATATTTAGAAACTTTCTAAAGTTATGATATTTGAGAACTTCAATGAAGCTTTGGAAATTTCAAAGCTTGAAGTTTTGTTTCTGTACCTTTTTGATATAGAAAATACTAAATTTTTGTACTGGGTAGTTGATAATGTGAAAAGATGAAAATTTAATATTTTTAGATGTATGAATTTTGTAGTGAACTTAAAAATTGCAAGATTTGAAAATTTGAAAGATGAAAACTTTTTAAATTTGAAAATTTGAACTTCGTAGCTTTGTATATTTGCAAATTACCAGATTACTCAATTTTAAAATTGGAGAATGTGATGAAATCCCATTTCACAGACCACCAAATCCCAAAATTCCTGAATTTCGAGGTTTCAAGATTCTTAGATATCCAAATTCAAAAATTCTCTAATTTCAAAATTCACAAATTCTCAAATTTCAAAATTCGTATTTTCTTAAATTCGAATATTCAAAAATTCCCAAATTCCAAGGTCCTCAAACACTCACATCCTCAAATTCCCACCTTTCTAAACTAGGTCCTCAAATTCTCCAAATCCAACATCCACAGATTTCCAAATCTCTAAATCCCCAAATTTCAAGGTTCCCAAACTTTTATCTCTAAAATTCCACATAAAATTGTCCGTTCATCCCCAAAAATCCGTACAAGTCTCTAAAATTCAACGAGTGTAATGTCACTTCACCTTCGGTTGCCATATTGTCGCTATGGAAACCAGCTTTGCTCTCGACTGCACGAGCAGGGTTTCGGTTTCGTTTAGTAACTTTGGCGAATCGTTAACTGTCGAGCTAGTACGTGAAAATGGAATAGTGAACCGGAAGTTGTAGACGACACTTGCAGGGGGTAAACGCAGTTAGTACCTGGAAATTGTTCATCGGTCACAACAACGTTTTCCTCGGTGCACTTCGTTTTAGATAAAACCTGTATGTGTGTTGCGATTAAAACATACAGTTTATAACCTTCTCAAGAAGAAAAACTTCTCTTAAGATTTTCTAAAAGAAGCAATACATTTTCCTCGCACCTTTCAATTGCCAGTTTTACGTCTGTAAATCAGTATTAACTCAATTTTACATCCGCTGTTCTACAATAATAATTAGCGTCGAATAGTCTCGAGTATACGGAGTCAAGAAAGTTTTCACTAAAATTCTTTTTTTCTTTCGTTCTTTTCGACAGAACAAGTTTCACGACATGTTTGTTATCGGAAAGATGTACGTTATAATCGTTACAGTCTCTTGTATGAGAGCACTGTGCGTCGCGGAGTCAGCAATAGTGACGATAAAACGCCGCGTGGAATCATTAGATTTCCCAATAAGTGAATATAAGTGGATTGTATCTAAATTAATTTGACTTCGAACGACTAGTTTATTTTGCTATGTACTTGATGACTGTCCCAGTTTCTTTGATGTTTTACGTTTTACAAAAGCTTGGAGTGGGTACAATTTTTGTGACATTGGTGAGGGAAGACGGTTTCTAATTTTCTATTAGTTTAGCTAAAATTCGAGTGGAGATGGAAATACAAATGACGTATGAAGTGGGTCTGGGTTTCTCAAAGTGACCGTAGCAGGTAACAAAACCAAGCAATATATGTACCGAAAACAGCAAACAAAGGACTGCTGCGGTTAAGGGTTCAACCAGATGTGACTAACAATAAAATACTCGCTAGAATGTAATGACTTGGGTTCTATTCCGGCTGAATTGATTTGAAACTACAACTATGAAGGATCGAAAAACCATTAAACTATTGTATCGCTAAAAACATGTACTGAGGTCACTCTCGCTGTAGTATGTATTGTACGACCCAACACCTTGTACAACCAATAACAGTTTTTCACCTTCATTCGTATCTGATTGCACAAATTTAGCGGAACTCTGGATCCGAATTACCTAGGTTTGCGAGTATCGACTAAATCGAACTTCATTTTTGCTGTACCACGTATCGAAACTGCCAACAGAGATCGATACTCCACGCTCTACGCGTTTTAGCAATGTTCTGAATGTTAGACAGTTTTTGCTTCATTTTTGTACAAGTTCGAAACTATAACGAAGCTGAACTGAAATGTTTTTTGCCTTAGTCCGGTCGTTTTACTCCAAAGTGGATACATCCAGTTAAGAAGAGACATTCGTGCAAAAAACAGCTTCCAGCTACTTTTCACGAGAAATTTTGTGCACGTAGTAATCCGTCGCTTTTTGTGGACCTCGTGTTTCTGGGATAGGACGGAAGATTTGGTACTTTCGTAAGTTGACGATTCCGCAATTTAGGAATTTAGAAATGAAGGAATATTAAACTTGTTTAATTCATTAGGGATTTTGAATGTTGGAAATTAGGAAGTTCAACAAATTTCAAGGTTTGAGGTTTTGGGAATTAAAGTTGAAAATCTGTGAATGTGGAAGTGGGAATTTTGGATTTGGAAGTCAGTTAACAATGTTAATAAAATAGGCCTGTACACAGTAATTATAATTAAACATTCAGTTTTAAATATTGTGTAGTATATCTCATGAAATTGTCGCACAATTATTATGAAATAATCTATTATTACATACTGAAAACTATTGCTTTAATGTTGCACCCATTTTGCATTAAACGAAAGCCATTTTGTATGAACGAAAAATGCTTGTAGATCGTGAGTTTCATCATTCTTTAAGCATTAAACTGATATACGTAACTGATTGTAAATTACAATACTCTTGTATTAGACTTTTTACGTTTCAAAATAGATCAAATTAATGCGATACGAGCTATTTGATATTAACAAAAATTGGATTTTTTCTTGTATACATATGACATGGTACACAGTTATAATAATAAATAGTAGCATTATAAAGTAGTTAAATATAAAATAAGTATTTATGGATCATTTATTAGAGAAAAACTTACCTCAAAACTGAGAATGCCACTATGATCCTGGTCCAGTGTATTGAAAACGTAATGGGCGTACTGGCTAGTATTGGCTGGAAAAATAGAAAAGAGACAAACTAAATAGTGATTACTACAAAATTATATTGTAAATCTATAGTAATTGCTTATAACATGATAATTTATACATCTACTTATAATATTATATTTTGTGATAAATAATTTTGAGTGGCAATTAAATTAAATATTTCAAACTGAAACAATGTTTAATACTTTAGGAATAATGAATATATAAATATATTGCAAGGGCAAACTTTATAAATATAGTGAACTCTGTGAGAGGTAAAAGAATATTATTTAATTTTGTACGAAAGAAAAATGTACTACAGGTAATATTGTATATCAAATTTAAATTCGATTCCTTTGTGAAGGGTTAATAAAATCCTTCGTGTATTAAATTTACCGATTCTTCATTTTCCGTTTTTATCGAACGCTTCCAATTGCAGCTTGTGTTACAGTTAGCAAATATTCAGTGCGAAATGTATTTGTTCATTTTTTTAAATAGGGTAATATTTGAAAAACTAGATCACTTGCAAATTTTTGGATTTCTAAATGTCTAAATTTCTAAATTTCTACATTTTTGGATTCTTGGATTTTTAAGCTTTTAAATTTCTATGTATCCAATTTTCTAGATTTTGTGACTCCTGGATTTGAAAATTCATGGATTGGTAGATTCCTAGATTCCCAGATTCTTAAATTCCTAAACTCCCAAATCACCCAGTTCCTAAATTCCCAAAGTCTTAAGTTCTCAAGTTCTCAAGTTCCCAACTTTTTAAATTCCCAAGTCCCCAAATATCTAAATTCCCAAATTCCTATGTTCTCAAATTTCCAAGTCCCAAAATTCCCAAGTCCCCGAATATCTAAATTTCCAAATTTCTATGTTCTCAAATTTCCAAGTCCTAAAATTCCCAAGTCCCCAAATTCGCAAATTCGCAAATTCGCAAATTCGCAAATTCGTAAATTCCCAAATTCCCAAATTCCCAAATTCCCAAATTCCTAAATTCTCAAATTCTCAAATTCCCAAATTCCCGCGTTCCCAAATTCCCGCGTTCCCAAATTCCCGCGTTCCCAAATTTCCGCATTCTAAAATTCCCAAATTTTAAAGTCCCCAAATTTCCAAATTCCCAATTTTTAAAATCTCCAAATTCCCAAATTCATAAATTCTTAAGTTTGAAAATATTTACGCTCCAAAATTCCCAAATTTTCAAAGTTCACATTCCCAAATTTCAAAATAATCATATTTCCAAATTTCCAAGTTCTAAATCGACAAATTTCAATACTCTCCAATTTTTTAACTACTAAATTTCCAATTTCACGGTAATTTGTCAACATAACATCCCCTATATTTCACTATTGTCAACAGACATTGAGCACCATAAAATATTGACAGTTACACATATTGATCATCTGTAGTTTTCACTGCACAGTTACAGATTAAAAAAAAAACGGTTTTCAACAGTTTTATCCGATTGCATCTCACTCTGCGTCAATTGGTTTCGATAAAGCTTTCAATCTACACAAATCTTCGAAACGTTCTTTTTATATGTTTACTACCAACTCGTATAGAAGAGATTTTCACCATTTTCTTTGCAATTTCGATTCATTTTTACTTGTTCGAACGCAATGAAACATCAGTCAACAATGAGAGAAATCTTTTTCCTTGTAGAACAAGTACTCTTATACAAATTCTCTTTTTATTCTATTATTTACATTATTTACATTGATGTGTAAATATCGTTTGATAAATTTTGTAATACGTATAATACTTATGCAGTATTATAAATGTTATTGCTTATATATACTTATAATGCTTATATGGTATTACAAGTATTATTACAAGTATTACTATTAGTATTATTATACTATACATATGTTTATAAGTTAATACTTATGTAGTAAGTATTGTATAATAAGTATTATTGTGTAGTACTGCATAATATTATTATATATTATTATTAAATAATATTACTATATACTATTATTATGTAATAATACCTATATAGTCATCCTTACATAGTACTATAAATATTATTATAAGTATAATCTCAGAATGTAAGACTCAATATTTGAGAACCTGCAGAAACACATCAAAGGGTCGTAAACATGTCACTGCCCTAAAGCGTTGAAGTAAATTACACAGGAAGATTGCAAATGTAGTTGACAAACTGATATTCCGCATTGTGTCGAAATCAATTTGCAACCCCCATTCGAGAAACAAAGGGAGAAAGACACTTGTCGGGAATAAGTTGTCGTGTTTGGTAGAAAACGGAGGGATGGCCTTAATAAGCACTCCAATTTCCCAGATGGCAAACATTCAATGGCCTTCCTGAGAAACCTTTTGAGACCGTCGAATCTACCATAAACTGAAATCCCCTGTTCTGTTTGTGTGTATGTTAACTTCAGCTTGTCCGACGGAAATGCTTTCGATTTAAAGCGGAGATTTATACTTGAAATTATTTCACGGAAACGTTGCTTTATTCCCCTTCCGGCAAGTGTTTCGTCCGCAACGAGCTCCAGGAAAGGGTCGTTATCTTCTTCAAGCGGGGTCAATCGATATTATAAATAAGTTGTAGTTAAGACGAGGATTGCACATTTTAAGAACGCAGTTTCTTTTTTTCAGGAAGAAAGAACTTTTTAAAGTATCCGCAATTTCAACTCGAAAATAGACTCATCGGTTATCCATACAAATATCGCGAATACATTTTTCACGAGGAAAGAAATCAGCTTCGGGTCAGATACTGAATATAGCCGGGAAAGATTGAACATTTCTCATGATTTTATTTTAATATGAAAGATCCTTTGCTGCGGCGAAATGTATTTCCTTTCTAATGGCTACGACTGTATTAAAGGACAGTTATTATAGTAAAGTTATTTCGGGTTTTGAGAAATTAATATGTTCAGTTATTTTAGTAATGGAAGCTGGGAGATGAAGTATGTTAGCAGTTGATTGTAATTCGTGGAATATTAGTTGGTATGGAAATATGTGTAATATGTTCATATGGTCAAGTACATATGATTCTACATGTTATTGCAGGATATTTTACATTTCATATTATTTTACAAGATTTTATAGTGTGTCACTATATTTAGAAAGATTTTACAGGGTTTTATAGTATGTCACTATATTTAAAAATATTTCGCAAGATTTTATAGCATGTCACGATATTTAAAAATATTCCGCAAGATTTTATAGCATGTCACAATATGTAAAAATATTTTACAAGATTTTACAGTATGTTACAATATTCAAAAATATTTTACAGTCTTTCACATTATTTCACAATATTTTAATATTTCATATTATTTCACAATATCCTACATGTCATCAACATTGCAAATAATATTATATCTGCATAAATCTTACAAAAAATGTATTTCCAACGATAAAAATTTATTTCCCGATGAAATTTTGTTTAGATCCCACTTTACGAGGATACATGTTCTCGCATGAATATTCAGAGGGAAATTATAACACGCAGTAAAGTTTAACGTGAATTACGAAGTAGTTAAACAAGGATTTAGTGATTTCATAGAATAAGGCGTGTAGCAGGTCATGAGAATGGCGATTAGGGAACGTCTTTTGTCGCTAAGAATTTCCTTTGCGTTCGAAACTGAGAAACGTCTGTCTGCCTGAGCAGAAATCTCGGAGGTATACCTTCAATTGAAAGGATTCGTCTAGAAATTAGTACCCGTTCCTTCCGAATTATCACAGCGGGACTTCCGTAACAGCACAGAGGGGACAAAGTAGATTAACTCGTCAAAGTTGTCAACCTTGTATGGATCAAGCTTCCGCCGAAGGACGATACTTCCGCTGTCACTTGATTACAAAAGTCAGAAATTAGTTTCCCAAACGTAACTTCGGTCTTTGATAAGGTTAATCGGAGAGTAACGTTCTTTGTTCACGAGCTTAATACTGAAACTCCCGAATCAAATAGTCTCACGAGTTTCTTACTTAGTCACAAGTTACTTTCCTTGAAATGTATATTATTTTAGAAATATGGAATTGCAGTTGTTTGTATCTTTTTCTATTTTTTTCTTAATTTCTAATTGTGTATGTATTAATGTTAAACGGTTAGCTGAAGAATTTAGTTTTGATCTCATGAGTGATTAAAATCAAATAGTCGAACGCAGGAATTATTGAAACGCTATTATCGATAAGGAAATGTTTGTATTACTACTAAATACAAATTTAAGTGAAATCTTCTACCTTAATTCTTACTGAAATCTTCAACCTAATTTAACCGCCTTATCATCAAATAGCAAGAGATGCCCGGAGACATCTTTAAGCCATCTATATTACGTAACAAAGTTAAAAAAACTGGTTTTCAAAAAACTTGAAAACTACAGTTAACCTTATTCACTGAAAAGATTCATGGTTCCTCTACAAGTGTGTTAAAACAAATGATAGCACCATTTTCCCCTAAGTCGCCATTTTCCTAATAAACTCTTCCATCTTATCACATTACTAATGTACTCTATTATATTACTTTAAACTAATGACATCAATTATTGATACGTTAAAAGAAATTTTCCATGTGAACAATAATAACTCTGTCATCAAATAGCAAGTTTCGATACCTGAAGACATGTGTAAGTCTTCCAGATTATGTAACAAGACTTCAAAAAAGTCTAAGACTTTAAAAAAAGTTGTTACACAAATTTGAAAGTATATTTAAAAATTTGGTAAATGCTTCAGAAGTTGACCACTCTTAAAAATTAAAGAATTAGTAATTCACCTTCTGTTCGTTGCTAGCGACTAGAAGAAATACATTTCATTCCTGAAATGTTCGCAACGTATGAATTTTTTTACTTGAACCGTAAAGCTATTCTCAACAGAAATGTTAAGGAAATAGAAATATAACATATTACTTAATTAATGAATTTAGATGTTCTAGTAAACATACTTTGCTTCATATGTAATTGTTTTAAAATTTAACTGACAGATGGCGTGGCACTTGAAGATCACTCTCATCATAAAAACCTTATTTTATGTTTTCTAAAAATTGATCAACTACTGATTAAGTATTGGTATTTT